CTAGGGCCTTTTTACACACAGTCTTTGGACAAATTATATGTACTTACCATTGTCTGTGCTACGGCAAACATCAGAGTCATCTTCATCATTTTCTGTGAGGCCAAACTTGTCAAAGCTGACAAAGTGAAGACAAAGTAATGATTATTTACGCAGCAAGACGCAAGGACAGCATAGGAAGATGGTGGCTCCTGGAAACCTTTCACAAACCTAAAAAAATCCTTCCCAGAAAGACACATTCTCCAAAACTCTACGGACACATCAAGTCCCATTTGAATTCAAAGAGGCTGGGCTGGGCTCTACCTTCCTCAATCTTCCACAAATCTCCTGGTGGATTTTGAAGGATCTGGGAAGGTTGGCATAAGGACACATGTAATAGTACGGGGGGAAATGAGTAAACTCGCAGGAATAAATTTCATTTTCTCAATCCAGCTTGTCATTGAATAACCTGGTGCTGGGAAGGAACTTACTCAGGTTCTGTGCTCTCCCCTGATGCTGCCCACTCATTGGCCACTCCTGGCTCCATCATCTTCTCTTAATGACTTCCTCCTACAACAACACCAAAAACAAAAACAATGCATCCCTTCAGCTTTTACTGTTGTCACAGCAACATCCTTCACGTACTGTTGAAGCCCCCTGACTACGCGCCCCCTAACTTTAAAGCAATTTGATTTTTTGCTTCCACTGCCTTGCCAGAGCAACGATTTTACCTCAAATTTCAGAATAAGTGAAATGTCATCAAACTCCCACTAATCTAATTCAAAACTCATGATTTTACTCACCCAGGCCACTCCAACGAAATTTCTATTTTGGCTCAATTTTCCATTTTTTTTTTCCTTCAGTGCAAAATGGACACTTCTAAACCTGCCCCAAAATTAAAAATTATCTTCTAACAAACTTTGGTTTAAGTGTACACGTATGTACATGTCAATTGAGGTAATACAAATTATCAAGTTTACATAACTTCTCAAATGTTTATGTGGGGTTTTGGGCAATTTTTTCAAATGTGCCACGTGAGGGAACACGCAATGGCATGACTACTTGATATCCTCGATGTTAGTCGAGATGTAGGCCTACATGTATGGAAAGAAATCTATAACTGATGCCTCTGATATTTCCCTACAGTGACCTAACATTATTAGTAAAGGTACTACCAGCCATCTCAAAACAATAAAAACGTGGCCTGAAAGGTCAGAATTAAGCAGTGAAAATGTTGCTGGTATTCACTTTGAAAACACTTGAACATTTCAGACTAGTGTCACAAGGTTTCTTCCTCCATGGTTCATTTGTGCAAAGGGTGTCAAGCCACATCCATATTACATCTAGTCATCTACAATTAGTTTATTTATCTGATCAACCAACAGCGCATTTAGCGCCAATTACAGGATGATAATGAGTGAAGAAGACAATGAAGAGATGTTCAGTTTGAGAGGTGGGAGGAAAAGCCCGGTTAAGTGTACCTCACCATAAATTCTTTCACACATTCTTTCTGAAATGTACATGTACATGTAGGTCTATGCGCCTTGAGCAAAATTACCCCCTCATTGGTCAAAAAGAGCCATGTCGTGCATTTTGGTGGGGATCGAGGGTTCATTTACTGCAGAAACGCAACCGTGATGCATGTACTTCATAGTCTCCTGTGGTGCAGTTCCCAGGCACCAAAGGAGCCCCTGTTGCTAGGAAACTTGTACCCTCTCAGTCCCACCCAGGTCTCATACATGAACATGACCCTAACTTGGGCTAGGTGACAGGCCCAGGCTGAGAATAAGAACAGGATTGACGGAGAAAAGATATTCACCATGTTTAGGAGGTTTACCCCAAAACTGTGAGGTATGCCTGCAGGATGTTCTAAAGTCACTTATCTGTGTGACTTGCTGCCATGTTTGTTTATACGTGGTTACAATGCTATCTGTTTTTTTAAACCAGCCTTTGACGTACCATACATGTATGACCGGTGACGCAAATCCAACTTTTTCAATCAAATTTTCATGTGAGAGTAACCTCAAGGCACCTGACATGTATAGCTCCTTTAGACTGTGTAATTAACGTCAGTGTTAGCCTTTAAGACCAACTTGAAAAATTGGAGGGTTTACTCACGTATCCCCTGCTTTCTTCCCAACAATCACATTGTACTGAACAATCTGTGTGCATAACACCCTCAGTGAACATGCGTGGGCCAAGGGCCAAGCAAGGTCAGTTTGTCCATATATCGAGAAGGGGGTGGAATCTTGTTATTATCGCACGAGTGGCCTCTGAGCTGCGTGACTGGAGTGATACCATCAGGCCAAGCGCTGTGCTAGCTGTGACAGGTTAAACACTACCACCTCCAAAAACAGTCCAAATGACATGCGGAACAAGCTCGGCTATACCACTGGCCCTTGGCTGTCGCTGCATATGCACTGTGTGATACACAAAATGTACGGTACGGTGCGATCTTTGGGAATAAAACAGAAGAATGATGAGAAAACTCTATGATTTTTGGTGTAAAAACCTCCTTCAGCCTGGGTACCTCAAACTTAATGGTTGCTCTTATTCTCAAGGGAAAATTTGATTGAAAAAGTAGAATTTGTGTCACTTATTTACCCCCAGAACTGAAGGGTCTGACTCCGCCCCACTCGTGGACATCAGACCCAGCACAGATACATGACAGACTTAATGACTTCTGGCAGTCTGCTGTAACATTTCACACTACAGTACCTGCCAAGGTACCATAAATGCATAGACCACTGAGTCTTGCGCAGTAAAATAAAGTTAAAAATCAGGGACGGGGGCTTGGGTCAAGTCGTAGTGGCCAAGTTCTCATTGTTCGAGTCTGAGTCCAGAAGGTCTAAGTCTAAGTTCAAGTCTGAGTCTTTGAAAATCCACTGATCTCCACAGCAACTGACAACAATTTAACACAGAAGTTACTAGTATAGCAGGAACCAAGATTTGCATTGACTTTTGTGTCAGGCTTAATAGCCTAACATACGGTATGTTTGTACAAGTATGTTTTTCAATAAAGTGTCTATGCAATGTTAAAATTCAAGAAATACTTACATGTATATGCCAAAAGTTTGTCGGGTTGACAAGAAAGACTGGGATTTTGCCTTCTCATCTATGGTACATGTAATTAATGATGCATCCAAGTGCCTGGCCTTCCCAAATTACAAGGCGAACTAATCCGATTAGACGCCCTAACTGCGGTGGCACTGTACTCACACACACATTCTTCAGCTTGGCACGCGTGCGTTTGGCAAATCGTGACACCCTATTGGTCGACGAGGCATGTCATGCGAGCGTTCCACCTGTCCACGAGCGTTGTGCCACCGCAGTAATGGCTTCTAATTCTGGTGATCGGAGCAACATGTAGTTGATTCTAGACCAAGTTGGCAATTTCACACTGACATGACTGATGAGTAGTGTGTGTACATTACCATGATTCGGTGGATCATATCCAACTCATTAAAAAGGCAATTCGTAAGAGTCCAAGTTGCTCAGACGATTATTGACTGATCTACATCATCCTGATGCAGTCACGTCAATTATCATTTCAAAAATTCAAATATGCACAGCATGTGAGGGATTTCGTTGTGTAGGGTTCGAACTGTCCACTGTTTGTCACTGATGCCTAAATTAGCTTGAATGGACACACAATCTCCTGCTTCCCACCTTATTGTGACAAATGTGAGTGATCTCAATTCCACAGAGCAGATCAGCAATACAGATTCAACTGTTTTATACACGTCACATGCCTTGTCTCTGGAACAAGATTATTCTCACAATATAAACAGGCCTGCAAAGTTATATACTGCACAGGAGTTCAATTTCCTCAACTTTGCTGTACTGTGTATACAGTCCTGCAGACACTTTGTAGATGGCCATGCTTATAAATACAAAGTAGCTATGTACTGTGTGATGAACAATCCAAACGATGCACTCAATTAAATCCAATCACGATGACAATCGGTCACATGTACGATACTACAAATATATCAATATGCAACTTTATGTGGAGATCAGCATGCCAAAATAAGCGCGTACAAAACCAGAATGGCTCCTATACACAACAATCCGAATCTCTAAAATATTAATAGGATTACAAGCCTTATTTATCACTCAAACTATATCTTAAAATATTCTTCAAATATCAAATATATCAAACTTTGACAAGCAATATCTCAAAATTGCTTCTCCGCTACAACTTTACAAGACCTGTTTTTAGAATTGTTCGAAACAAGAGCGCCCCTTGCACAGAATACTAACTTATTTTTATCCACAACACAGCATGCTAAAGTGAAGTGGGGCTTGTTGGGCTTACCACATCATGGGATAGCATTACAACTTCACGTTCGGGGGAGCACACATCAGACCAAACGACTTGAGGGATAAACCATTTGCAAGATGTGTGCAAAACCTTACTGGGCAACGTCATGTCATTTTCACAGAAATGGATACAATGCACGTAGCTTGTGAGTGTAGGCATGCCTAGTGTTGATCCTCGTCCAACAAGTAGGATTAGTCTCAACATGATCTTTTCCTTTCTCTACGGTCTCATCACTCTCAACTGACAAGACAGAAGAACTAGGCCTATGAATTTTATTCCTGTAAAGTGTGAAATAACAAGAGATATCCATTGTACTTACGCCATCAATGTCATCACGTAGGTGTGCCAGCGATTCCTCAAAGACTAATTTCTTGATGATAAACAAAGTCGCGAAATTAAATGGATAATTTAAAGCGACCACCGTGTGCTTAGTATACTCAGGGAGGTAGAAAACACCGCACCCGTGTTCTTTGCATGCAGTGTGTCTGTCCGTCGGTCCGCCATGTTCTGGGAATGGGTTTTCAATACAGCATGAGTTTGCGCGCGTAGTGACGTCATGCACCGAGTGCCTGGTGGCTTATAGCCTCACCCATTGGTTCCTTAACATGTTGACGTCTGGGCAAGCACACGTAATGGACATGGACATGTACATGTGTGATAATTATGATTAAATCAACATATTTAATTTTGGGGGTAAAAAGGCAAAAATGTTTCAATTATTGAACTTTTTTTTAAGATTGGAAATGTTTGCAGGTTTTGCACATTTTAAACAGCAAATCTCCCCTCTGTGAGCCTTAAAGTTCCTAATATTGAAAGTATGAATGCACGTGTTAAAAAACATCTGAGTTGGCAAGATTTTTTTGTTCAATTCAATCCACTTGTTTCGATTTAAATCAGCTTTTTGGATTCAGTAAGTGAATTTGGTACAAATTATTTATAATCATGATTTAATTTTTCTTTATTTAAATAGCCTACTTCAGAGTTTAACCATAGAGGAAGGTCACAGAAGGAGTTTGAACTCTGGCACTTCAAAGTGCTCGATGAGCATTGCCACCTGGTCAGACACACATTAGTAAACATTCCAAAAATGCCTGATTACTGCCTGCAGCTTAGCCGTACAAGTGGGACCAGTAATATCCTAGCAATATTTTTGTATGTTTTGTTTGCGATTAACTACAACTTATCGCTGTGAGCAGGAAATAAAGAGCGAAAAATCTCTAACATTAGATATCTACTTTTGCAATCGTGAATAAACTTTTAAGTTTGATGTTCCATTATCCATGTAATGTTTGTAAGTTTCTTTTGTCTCTACAAAACATAAGTTTTCAAAGTCTGTAAGAATTTGGCTACAACTAGCCAACATGTTGACCACCACTGGACAGTTAAGTCCATAACAAACAAAATGCACTATTTCATCACAAAGAGTACTCATGAGATCTCATGAAATACTTTTTGTATAAATGTCGTAATAAAAATAATTTAAATAAAACACAGTATCTTCAGCAACTTGGCTATTCATTCCAGAAATAACTGACGAAGAAAGCATTCGATAAGGGCAATGACTGCACATGAACACTAAGGGCACGCAGCCTAATACAAGCAACTGTGCAAGCATTAAATTTGATATTATTTTCAGATCATACTAAGCACCGTCGATGGTGATGGTTCGTAAATTTAATCAAATTACTTCATTTAAATTTCTTAATTTCAATCCAAATTTATTTCATTTTGTCACAATACAAATTTGCCAACTATTACACATGCAGCTAATTTGCTTGCTGTTGAATAGGCATTTGAGCAAACTTGTCTCAAACTCTTATAAAGCTAAAACAAAAGAAATCAGTGCTAGGGCAAGGAACCAGAAAAACTGAATTTGTTAATCAAATGAAATCCAGCGCAGCATCAAATTCAAGATGGCAAGTGATCCCTGGGTGGACGCACTGTCACAGTTGATGTCCAAGAGATATGACAGAGTACCGGGTGGGGCTGTTTCCATGTGTGCATCACCACCTGGTCCCCCGAATGGGCCAAGTTTGCGTCCAAAGTTGGTCTCAAATCCCAGTCGGTCAACAAGAAAGCCACTGCCGAGTGTGACCTTCATAATGACCTCCCTAGGTGAGAGAACCACTTGATGGTGAGCCACAAATCTCTCGCTGCCACCGTGCATGCATTGCACCTGGGAGCCGTCAACGGCCGGATTATGGTAGGTCAGCTGCAGCCCTCCGATGACTTGGCGCCCATCCCAGAGTCGAATCCAGATGTCAATTTTGCAGATCTCTAAGTTGACGTCATCGTAAACCCTGGACGGTGGCTGTCGGAAATATGCCACTTGTCCACCAGCAGCATACCTCTCTCCGTCTGTCACAGTGCATTTTGCCAGTTTTCTGCTCCTGAACCAAGACGATGGAAGATCACCGGCTAAGGCCCCTACATTGGACCTGAGAGAGCTGTCTTGCTTTTGTTCATACACATTTACATACTTCTCATACAGTTTCAAATAACGCTGTATAATTGGACTTTTCTGGAGGGATTGAAATTTCTTTAAGACTTCCTTTATCACCTCCTCGGGAAGGACAGTCAGTCGAACAGTTCGGAGAAGCCTTTCAAAAACCTCATCCTCCAGTAGAGGGGTCTGGCAGAGATATCGCAGGACTGCGATCAGGACGAGTTTCTCTCTCTCCTCAGTTTTCAAAATGATCTGTTCACGAAGCACGAGTTGGTCATCATCAAAAATCTGCACCAGAGTGCCCGGATCCAGTTCCAGAAATGTGGAGGTTTGTGAAATCCCATCTAGATTTCCCTTGAAAAACTCTTCAGCTTGAGCCCTGAGGTATGCGAAGGAGCAGTCTCGAGAAAAGGTCAGGGCCTGGCAGACATTTCCCACGTCAAGGTGATCAGCCATGAAGTTTTCGCAAAAGTCTCTGATGGGTGCAATGCTGAGGTAGTCTGCTGCCAACAGCACACCCTGTGCAGTCTCTTCGGTGACGTCAATCCGTCCTGTATAGGCAAACTTCAGTAGAACAGAGAACTCCTCTGGTTTGAATTCCTTCAGTGTGACCTCCCCACTGTTTTTCTCGTCCATCTGAAATACATGTACAAGGGCAAAAACCAATCATTATAAGAGCATAGTTCTTGACAGAAAATTTAAACTGCTTGAGCATCACATTCTGCATATTAATTAGTGCTGCAACAGTTTGATCTGAGCTCTCAGCCGTTACTTGGCTCATCTTCAATTCCACCTTGAGCTTTTGGGGTATATGGTGAAACCCTCGAAAAAGCAGACAGATGAGAACACAACTACGTGTACAATGTGCACATGGTGAGCTGTCCAGAGCATAACATGTTTCTCCGTCATGGGGACACGAGGCAGGCACAATTCAAGAATCACATCCTGTGGGCTGCTATTTGACAGTTACACTATGTGGTTGTTTTTAGTTTCAAATCAATGCATACGGCATATACGTTGTACAAATAACTGCAAAACAAGCCTAGCCAAATCAAATATGTACGCATAGAGTTATAGTCAATATATCCTTAGTCCATTACCCCTAACCATTCTGAATCCAACAAGCATCATTTTGATGGTCCCTAGGGGGTTAGGGTTATTAAAAGACCAACACAAGATCTCCAGTCTGAATTCAAGTCACAAGCTATTCAATTGACCTGAAACAAAGGCAGTTCTTTGTCACTGCTCATCATGTGCTGACTGGTCTTGTGAACGATCTTCTGTATAGTCCTGTGTCTGGTCTTGTGAATAGTCCGGTGACAGTCCCGACTATAACAATGGTTTTGGACACAAGGATTTCAGAAGTTTGAATCTTCCATTGGTAAAGGCGACCTCTCACTCACCTGTAGCAATGGAGGGAAGAAGTCTGAGAGTGAGGCAAGTACCATACGATGGGTTGGAAATCTCTGACCCTCCACAATGACCACCACATCTGTGTAAAGACCTTCTTCCCAGCACTGGAAAGCCTTGTTGAGAAACTTTTCTGCCTGCTGCTTGAGGACATCAAACAGACATCTCCAGTGAACGACACAAATAAAAACAGTGCCAAAGAAGAATAGCAACTTTAACCCTAACCCTCCAGCCGACTTTAGCTAGAAGCCATGCCAGACACATCCAATTGCATCATTTGTCAAAGTGGCTTGCCTACCCAATGTAACAAGATCCAACAGGTCAAGTCTCCCGAAGACCAAACTGCCTGGGAGTCTGTGGTTGTGATTTACCACAAGATCCAGCAGTGGTACGGTTCAATGGCAGGAGCTCCCCTTGTCTCAACATGGCCAGTTTGTTCAGTTGCTGTTGATTGCCCAGTGCACCAGACTTTTTTCCTGATGCACTGTGCTGTGACATGTCCGAAAACGTTGAATTTTCATCATGTGTGCGAGTTCTTATTCTCCATGTTGGTGTATTGATAAATTAGGACCTACCTTATGGATAGGTACTGTACCATGCGTCCGTTCTGTTCTTCATCAGTTATAACTTTTGTACAATGCACGTATGTCAAGCGTCAACCAAAACTTCTCAAAGGCAGTGACATACATGTATAGGGGGGCTCCCCCCCAAACATATTGCCAATTTTTCTAAAAAGGGTACATCCAACAGATCGGGGTGGAGGCGAGGATTATGGAGGAGAAAAAGATTGGACAGTAGTTTCGGGGGGAAAAATTTCATGTTGGTCCCCTCCCTTACCAAGACCCGGATACGCCACTGCTAAAAGATGTCATAAATAATTGTACCAGGACAACGAAATTCCCTCACCTTTGACCTTACAGTCTCCAGGCTGTAGGAACGTGGGGCTGTATCCAAAACCTCTCCACTTGTATTTGCATGCAGAGTTGAAAGGGCCTCTGTTGAAGACTCAGACGATGATGAGCCGGATCTCCTGAAAGCCATTCCGCTGTTTGCGTTCTTATCACCTCTGATTGTACTGTACACAAGAGAAACAAAAAACATTGAATGCGTGTGAATAAAGAGTACGCAAAACCTTTAACTTCACCCTTGACCTTTTGGCCTCCAAAGCGATAGGCTTCTAAGAACCAACACAGAGCAATCCACAAATCAAATCTGAGGTCCATACAGACTGTATGTCAAAAATGTCTAAAAGGTCTCAAATTGTTGCATTGACAAGGTTTCTCTTGTTTTAGCCATGGACCTTAACCCTTGACCTTTTCACTCCAAGTGCAGCAGGCCTCTTATTAGGATCACCATGTTCAATCTACAAATCAAATTTGAAGTCCGTGCATTGAGCTTTCTTAAATCATTTCACTGACAAGATTATTCCAGACATACATGTACATGTACACATCCACTGAAGCTAGTTACACACACAACTACCGGTAGCTCCCGTCCAAAATCGTAAAAGAGGAATATTAACGCTCCACTTACATGTAGTAGAGCTGGGGAAGGCCTACCACCACTGACCACATACCTGTACATGTATCTGCATGTACACTGTACATGTATATGATGTATGCATTTGTCAATGACTGTAATGCAGGCCTGGGCCTACATAGACCCATAAACGGGGGGCCGGTCTAGATTGATACTTAAATTTTAAAATGATACTGACATGTACTGAGAGACTTACATGTACACATTGTTGACAGCTGTTTTGTGTCAAATCAAAGAGAGAGAGCCGGGCTAAAAGTTCAATGATTCGCCGCAAGCAATATTTGACTGGACAGGGAACTAGCCAAGGGCAGTTTGTGCGTTAGCTGCAACACACAACAGCCGTGTTTTCCACAACTACACGCACTTGGATTGACAGGTACTCTCGCCGATCTGAACGAATTCATAAGTGCTGAAGTCAGGTTGCAAACTAGACAGGCTCTCTTAAATTAGTCTGTGTAATGTCTGGCCAAAATTCGTCCGGAGTGGGCAATACTGAAGGCAACATTTTTTCCTCCAAACTTGCAAATCTGTGATTTTTTAGCAACCTAGGGCATAGTTTACCCAGTAAGTAGGGAACATGCTGGTGCAATTTCAGTTTATAAAATCCAGCAGATGTCTGATTATGCCCCCGGACAACACTGGATAAACTTATTTGAATTTGAGAGAAGTTTAACGAGCGACAGGGCCCAGTATATGATGAAGGAACCTGTTTACGGGTCTAGGCCCTGCACTAGTATTTAGTACGGTACTGTCACGATTAAATAAGGTTTTAGTACTTCTGGAGGCTGCAAAGGCAATTTCGGACACAAACAAAAATGCAAAGCCCTAAGTCTAGTGTCCATCTTTAGAGTAAGGATTGCAGGGAAATGTCTATTACGTCGGATGAACAAGAAATTACTCAATTTACAAAGGGATGCGTTGCCTTCTTCACTTTTTTAATTCATACCAGAAACAGTAAACAGAGAGCCACTGTTGTCAAGCTGCATCTGAATCTGTTGTCTAGGTCTAGGACTTCGCTCCACAGGAAATGCATTCGGAGGCACCAAGACAATAGACCTAGCCACACCGTAGCTCTGAAAGCCAGTTCCGGACATGCCCTCCGTTTATCGCACATAGGATGTGCAGTTTTGCACAATTTACTTGGCTGTGGCTAGGCCTGAAATAACTGCTATCGTACCACTACCCGTATGAGGTTTCACGCGTACCCGCGTAACCTTTGGAATGACTGAAATATTGTGTCTTTAGTGTCCCTGGAACAATGGACATAAATATTCACGACTAGTCTTGAACACGTTCACGACGTCGCAAAACTACTCCAGGGCTACCGTATGTGTCCGAGCAGGGAATGGTCCGAGTCAGACTTGTGCAGTTGACCAGTTTGCAGGGCCCTGTGTCCAGACGTGGTTTTTTTCGTTTCTTTTTTTTTTGCTCTGTTTTTTATAACACAGTTACTGTCTAGGGATAGCCTAGACCCATGCCATGTACATGTACTTTTCTAAGGGGATTGTTTTATTGCCAGCCTCGAGAGTAGACTAATCAGCTTCCCCTGTTGAAATTTCGGAAGTTTCCGTTTGAAACGAACTTCTTTAGAGCCCTGAATATATTATCTAGTCAAGTTTCCCCAGCGTGTTATATTAAGGACAAATCTGCTGCCGGTACAGCGAGTGTCAGTGGTCTGCTGTTTTTGCGGCAAATAAAACTCATTGCCAGGGTTGGCTGATTTAAATCACCGATTTAAATCGCGATTTGAATTAAATGATTTTTTGAAAAAAAATCATTGATTTAAATCAACATATTTAGTTTTGAGGGAGAAAGGCAAAAATGTTTCAATTTATAAATTCAGTTTTGCTGATTGAAAATGTTTGCAGGTTTTGCACATTGTCAATGATAATTCACCACTCTGTGAGCCTTCCAGTTCCTACTAGTATTAAAGAAGTATAAATGAAAATGTGCTTATCCACTTGTTTTGATTTAAATGAGTTTTTTGGATTCAGTAAGTGAATTTGATCAGAAGGATTTATCACCATGATGAAATTTTACTTCATTTGAATTGCCCATTTCAGAGTTTGACATAGGTAAGGTATCAGTGAACAGTGAACATCTGCCATATAAGTTAATAAGATACACATTTTGCTGAGACACATTACTCATTATGCAGTGTAACTGAAACCACTAAATACCACTTAATAAATGCCTTTAATAAAGTGATTTTAATCAAGCCTAAGTCATTGCTCTGTTCGATCACCAACAAAACGAGACTGCTTTTTTGCACACAGACCAAAGTAAAATACCAACATTTTACATATGAGCATGTAAAATAAATCCATGTACATGTTGTTCGTGGCATGTTTCTCATTCATTAGTCATTTGATGCATGTGTAAGTACCCTCTTAACAAATTCCTGTCAACTCTTGCTTCGTATGCACTTTATCTTTACTGCATGTACAGTGTACTTATCTCTGCAGGAAGTGTCTTCTCTGCAGGCACATGCACCGATACATGTAGGTGTTATACAGCATGCATTTCACCAAGGCTACGACATGGTGGTTTGTAAATTTAATAAAATAACTTCATTTAAATTTCTTAATTTCAATCCAAATTTGTCATTTTGTAAAAAAACAAATCAAAGAAAACTATTACCCATGTAGCTAACTGAGCCAACTTGTCTCCAATTTAAAAAAAAATCTATAAAATCTGATTGAAATTTTAAAGATCTGATTTAAATTTTAAAAATCCGGATTTAAAAAAAAAAATTGTTTAATAAAAAAAAAATCAACAGCCCTGCTCATTGACCAAACGGAGCAAAGTCTGCTGGCCTAACGAGAGACTGGTGACAAAACATGACTTGACGATGCAGACGAGTAAGGTCGTCACCGTTTTCAAGAAGAGAGAAAAGTGCCCAAAACCATGATTTTTTCCCATTTCCTTTTTTTCATCAATCAGCAAGGATAACTGCTGCCTACGAGGTGATGCAAGTTTTTACCAATGTAACCAAATCTACTCATATCAAAATCGCGATGATGTTGATGGGCAAAATGCAATTTAATCCACATTTACCGTTTTCACAAAGAGAGAAAGTCCTCCATACATATAACGTTACCATTAAGGGTAAACCCGTGGGCAAAGTTCGTTTTACTGTTTGCACGAAGAGACAAAAAGTGACTCAGGAAATATATCAATGAAAAATTTTGCACCTGACACTGGCCAATACGCACCGGTTTAACAGACAAAATGCACACGAAATCCAGCGTTTTCACGACCAGACAAATGTGTTTGTTTGCAAAAAAAAACAATTTTAATTGATCCCTATAAGTAAGATTTTGTATTTTACATACCTCCGTTTCACGCAGGCGTTTTAAAGTCGAGCCGAATTGAATTAAAAGCAAATTTTGACTTAAGAACGGCAACCTTTCGCCGTCTGAAACAATTACGAGCGACCATCTGCACTCGTGCTAGCAAGCGAAAGGTCGACACTTGGAGGCGCTCGACACGTCTCCTGAGCTAGAGCGGCTCAGTTTCAGTCGTCGTTCCTTTGTTGAGCTAATCAAATGCAAAGGTACATATATGTATGAAGTTCGTCTGTCTGAAACCAAATTTAATTGAGTCGACTGGAGCCGCTCTTAATTTTATTTTCGGCGCGACTCTAGAACGCCTGTCTGAAACAGGTATTATACTATTATACTACTAAATTTGCTATTTGCTGTTTAGATCATTGAACCTATTACAAGCGTAGGAGTCAATAATTTTTGATACACTGAAAGGCAAGTTCCTGGACAAAGGTCACCCTCCAGGCTTTCCCTGCTCGAAAACAATCTCCTTCTTCAAAAGATAGTTTGGGGGCACTTTTAATGCTGATGAGCTGACCAGAAATTCCCACTTTAGATTAATAAACTGTACCCCTGGGGTTAAGACATGTGGGCCGCTGAATTCAAACGGGGTCTGGTCGCTATTTTGATTTAAGAAAGTGACAGGCATTTAATTACATGAATTTGAGAGAGTGAAAATGCAACAGTAACATCAAACTGCTTGTGTGATCGCTCAAAAGGGTTTAAATGTACAGAATGCATAAGTAGATTCTGGTTGTTTCTGTATTTGAGGCCATAAACATGTCGATCACTCATCCTAAGAGAGTGCTTCCCTTTCACACGCTGCACCCGTACGCTGGGGATCAGGAATCAAATTCGGATCGGGACTCAGAACTATTTCAACATTTAATAGCAAATCCATTTTATTTTGCAAACTTTGCAAGGCGAGCAATAATATCAACAATTCTTTTGTACAAAAGACTTTAACAGAAGTAATATTCAACGAAATAAAACTAAAAACAGAAAATCGGATGCGAAATATCACAATTACTTTTCTGTCATGCAAAGTGGGCCAAAGCATCGGCAATTGGGTTAGAAAATCAGATGCTGCAAGTTAAAGTAAAAAAAAAAGCCACCTTGAAGATGTTTCAACTTTGTAGAAATCCATAGAATACTATAGCATAACTTTTCTTATTTTTGGTACTGCTAAAACGAACACAATCGAACGATTAGTCATTCTAAAATAGTCCCGAATGTGTTTTACGTGAAAGTATTCTTTAATTGTGACATGGGGAGACATCGCCGATAAAACAAGGATCTGTGAACATTTTATCAACCTCAGAAGCAGACAGCGCCTTACTAAAGATCTTGACCTCGTCGATCAAGCCAACGAAATACTCGTGACTCATTCCCACCCCAGCCTGACCAATGGTCAAGGGGGTGTTCTTGGAGATGATGTCTCCATGGCAACAGTCATGGTCCCCAGACTGCAGCTGGTTGTCCAGGTAGAAGAGCAGTTGGGATCCGTTGTACGTCATGACCGCGTGGTGCCACTCTCCAAAGCTGGCTGTCAGGTAGGCATAGTTCCAAGTTGGGGCGTTGTTTGCCGTGACCACCCCACCACCAATCATCTGACCACTGTTCTCTCTTCCCATACGGATCTCCCAGGAACCAGTGGTGTGGTAACCGGTGTTGACGATTCCCTGGTAAGTGTCTCTCGATCCGGTTCTCTTGAACCAGACGCTGACACTGAACTGTGAACCCCAGATAAAGTTGCTGAAAGCGCCCACCTCCACCTTGGACGAGCCGTTGAAGACGGCGGCTTTTCCGCACTGCCCATCAGCGTAAGTAATTTGGCCATCCGCGCTCCCATTACGACGGTTCACTGTGGAATCAGACAGGTCTTCCTCGAACGCATAATGAGCTGTGATTTAAAAATAAAGAACAAGGATGTTAAACCACACGCACTCGCATAAAACAACTACCGTCAAAAACAAGCTTTTAAAAGCATAAAGCTTGTATCAGTTTTCATTCAAAGCGTGCAAAGCTCTATGATACGGATTTGAAGCGTGTCCAATCTGCCACGATCGAGTTGAGGTGCGCACCCGCGCATGCGGTTGGTTCCCACCATTGATCTCCATTATACTAGCGCTCAGTGCCACAAGACCTTCACCACCCTTGATCGGCATCATACGCCCACTTTCGTTCCCGCTCCCAGCGGATAGCCCATGACGTTGGCTCTAACGCAATTCCAAGAGCAGTAAATAGAGAGAGCAGCTGTACATGCAGACGTTGAAACCATTTCTCTGTTTCCAGTGCAGCATGCAGCTATTGTAGGCAAATTTTTAATTGTGCACTGATCTCATCATAGGGCTATAGAGTGCTAATTGATTGAAAAATCATTCATGTTTCTACTCAAACCTACAGAAAACTCGAAATTTTGTACGGCTTTTGCACGGCTACATCTGCGTCTGTATTTCTAAAACGATGCATCAACAAAGGCAATATTCCAAAAAATGTAAAGTGTACAATGGGCGTTTAATTTTGCTCTGCGTAAACAACGTAAACGGGTTTTGCCGTGACTTGGTTAAATCGGATCTTATCGGTACCCGATGCAAGTTGTATTCATAGTACAAAATATTTATTCCATTTGATTTCGAATGTTCTACAAGCATGCTCGTGGATTCGAAATGTCTGCGCCCAGGGTGGCGTCAAATTTTCTCCATACGGAGCTCGGTTGAGAAGGTAGCGCTCCAGTAATTTAAAATAGCTCTAGGACTGATCTATAGCTCTGGAAAAACTATTAGACCGCTAATGTTTTTAGTAATTTTATGTGAACTAGAAGGTAAAATCCACCCATTTGCTTCCAACAGTAATTGAGACACTCATGTTACAGCGCCCTCTACAAACAGCTCTGGCAATTCCAACCACATGGTGACTTCTTGAGATTTATACTTCACTGCGTAAGGAAACAAAGACGCAGCACAATAGACTGTTTTCCTGATTGGCATCTCACCGCTATCTTGCTAGCCCTTCCTTTTTTTTGGAGGAGACAAAAAATATATTTCGATTGCAACTCGAAAAAATGCACAGAACGGCTCCCTCTTCAGAGAAAGGGCCCCTCCCTAAAATTTATTAAAAAAAGAGGGATCTTGGTGTGTGAGGGTACTCACCAACCAGGTCTTGTGCAACAGGAGTCGGGCGTTGAGCGAGCCAGCGGCGCATTGCCTCTTCAAGGCTCGGGCAAGTGCAGTCGTCCAGCTCGTCCAAGCTGAAGACGTAGGCACACTGGGCCGCCTCCGATACCCCGATGTTGACGGAGACAGACGAGGTGCAGGCTGAAACGTGTGCAGAGAGCGCTACAACGGCCAATGCAACAAAAGTCATCCTGTTGAGAAGAAAAGCATCAGATACATTTAGTATAGGTTATGTTTTAGGATTCCCTCCACTCCCCCCTTGAAATTTTCCCGAACCACGCCTCGCATAATGCTTTCAGGGTCATGACACAACCTATTCATTTGTATTTTGTAACTTGTTTTTTCGTGCCGCGATACACCCTCGACGACTGTTCGATTAAAACCAGTTTCTCGCATAGGCTAATTTTTCTTTTACTGTGTTTATATGACTGTGAGTTCGTAAGTATGTTTTTTTTTTCAGACATAGTTAATGTTCTCGTAATAGTACCGACCACTGAACACTGTAAAACAGCCAGCAAGTCCTGAGACTGTTTTAGGATCTATGGTTAGTTTGGAACAGCTGTCGTTTGCCTCAGCTGCTGATTAAGTGCAGTGATTGATTGGTAATCATAACATCAGCGGCAAGAATAGCTTTAACAAAAAAGGATTGGGTTTGTGCACACTTGCACGAGGCATCCCTGGAATGCCAGGGTTTTCGGGTCGGTGTGATCTCTGGGTAAAGGTGTTAGCACAGGCCTAAACTTGCTGGGTTGACAGAGGATTACAGTCATGTAGTCTCAGATATACCGTCTGTGTAACCATTTATTAATTTTTACAAAGGCAAAAAGGTTGTTCTGACGCTGCAGTCCACTTGGCGACCGCAAAAGTAAAGTAAAACCACGAACCGTCGTCTCTCAATTGTAACTTGTTTTTTTTATTTCTGCTTTCTTGCTGACTGGCTGGCTGGCTTCAACCTTTCAGAGACAGTGTAATAAAGAGCGTATCCTGGAGGGCCAATGGGACCATCAGTGGATTATGGCAAAAGTGTGCCCTAAGCCCATTGCATATGTACAGGGGTAAGCCTATAGTTTACAAACTTGATGGCATTTTCTTTTCGATTTTGAAGAAAACTGTTGGAAATTTCATCAAACTCGTGCAAAAATGAAGTTTGTATTCCTGCACATTTTTCAGGAGGCTGCCCGGGTTTATGCAGCTGCCATGGCCGTTTAATGCGCATGATTGCATAATTAGGCCTGCGCATTAGCGGAAAAGTCTAAATAAAACACACTAATCGCCTAAGAAGCCTTACCTTAACGTAGCCATGTTGTGTATGCTTGTATACACTTCAGTGAAACTTCTTGCCACGGAAATTGGTGCACGACTTGCTGGTTTTGTGGAGTAGAGGAGATATAGCGGCCTTTTTATAGTTTTCAACGTTCTTTTGAGGGGCAGGTGAGGTCAATCGGGTGACAAGATAGATCCGGGTCAAGTACTCTTGAAATGGCACCGCCATCTGGGTGAAGCCGGAATTGTAAATCGCGCTATCGCGGCGACCTTGGCCTTTACGATTCAACGCAGGGGTTTACGTATACACTGTGCGGAAATGAAGTAGTACGTTCTTCGAAATAGGAAAATTTGCCCTCTTTTGTTGACTCCTTCCGTGTTTATCAACACAAAGCCAACACTGACTTTCCGCATTCGCTTCCGCCCCCATTAGAACATCATTGTATTCATATTAACGTTTACGTCTAGCCGTCCATGGATCAGGCCTAAACTTAAAGCATACGTTTTTCCCACTAATGGATCGTTGAGTCAGTGTTTATATTTGTACATGATATGAAAAGTCATGGCTAGTGGCTCATAAGGTGGTCTTTGATAGATTTTTCTTTCCAGAAACGACTGTCCACTTTTTTTCATTGGTAAAATAATCTTTACCCCCTCCAACATACACACACAAACTTGACAAAGAAAGATGACATTCTGAATTGCTAGAACCGAAAGCCCCCCCCCCGAATTAAACAGCGCCACTAAATTAAAGACTGATATCACAAGACAAGGCTGACTATAAAAATCCTACATCTTGCACACCTCACAGTTCTAGAATCCTCTATAGAAACACCAGGAAGGTGAACAACAGATCGAATCTAATTGAGAAAACGGCGACTGCTTGAAACACATTTATTGGTGTCCTTGTTTTCCTCAAAACGAGACCGGTAAATGTATAGTTGCCAAAAAGTTCCGCTACATGTGTTTTCTAGAGTAAACTTTCAATCAACTTCCTCTTGAAGCCCAACCTCGAATCTAATGATATATTTTTAAAATATCATATTGTTTTCTAATTGTATCCTTATTTTCAAAGGTTTAGCAGATGTTACGAAGCTACTAAAGTTCTAATGCATTGTAGAATAAGTCAAAACATTGTGACGGATAATCAAATCATCGCTTTTCTTCTGCTTGTTTGTTAATTTCAATTTTCTCATATTGCTACCATCTGCCGTTTCATTGAAATTTGTTAGTAAGATCACCGACCCTGATTTGACATCAGTGCATACAAATCAATTGACAAGCGTCAATTACAAAATGCCAAAACTGTATCCCAAAAGTTTTTCAAGCTTCCGTCTATATGGATTTGATAAACCAGGTCGGATAGTCACTTTGTACTTTGTAGTCCCCGGAAAAGTTACTGGATATTACTGACTTGTCCAAAGTTTGATAGAGTTTAAGTGGAAAGAAATGCAACAACCAAAACTAATCCTATTTCTTCGTAATCGGTTGAACAGACACCTGGAACCATCATACACTTTGATTCCGAGAAGTGCTTTGTCTTTGTGACGTCATCGTCGTGCGTCATCGGTAGCACAGAGCTCTCGAAGTGCCGACCAACTTTAGATCCGACATAGTTTATCACAGTCACAGTACATGTAGTAGTAGGCGTAGTAGCAGCAGCTGCAGAGCTGGGCCCCTATCAAAGATCGAACAGTTCTTCATAAAAAAATCCGCAACTTTGTTACCTTTTTTAATGTTTGAAAACTCTTTTAACATTTATAATTGGTTCACATAAATTCAATGAAAAGTGCATTTTTAAGCGTTTAAAATCACCCATACTGTCGCTGTGATGTCATCCAGGGAAGACCGAGTTCAGTGCACGGGTTTTTCTGTTTAAATTATGAACCCAGAATGTACTTAATAAAACTGTTCTGGAAAAACGATTGATACTTGCTTATTGGTTTGCACATAAACAACAATAAATTTGTAATGAAGAGAAAATTAAGTTCAGCAAAATCTGCAAAACTACAGGACTTTCTTGTGTATAAACCAATGTAACCCTGTGCCTTTCCTCCTGAGATTACATCACAGTTTTACTCAACTGTATAGAAATTTCATTAGAAAAAAAACACAGGAAAATTCCCTTTGAAGCAGTGAAACAAAAGTTGAAAATAAGGTTTACTGAGACACATAGGTGCTTTTGACAGTTTGAAATACAGTGCGAATTACCGTAACAGTGAAAGGACAGGTTTTGGGGGGACAATGAAGTGACTAATTCAAAGTCGCCATGCTCCATTTGCCATGTAAAAAAACTATCGACCTTCCCTTCGTTATGCAGTATGCTTTTGAAAACGGCTACAGACATCAGGTGCATACATTACATGTACATGCATCCAACTGCACTCAGTGGAGTGACAGGTTTTTGTAATAAAGTGCACTTCTGTGTTGCACACAAAAAAAATTGGAAGTAAACTTCATCATTCACTGATTGATGGGTTTCGAACCAAGAAACAGTGCGACTGTGATGTATTGGGAAAACTATTTTGATTTCAGGTTTTTAGTACATAAAAAGATATGCAATTTTCGTTAAGTCCTCCAATAAATTCAGGCATGAAAATGATTTTTATTATCAGCCGAAATATAATCACACTTTAATTTCTGCGTATGCATGTATGTGTACACACACCAGTACTTGTTCTACAGTGGTGAGGATTACACACGTGTTGAAATATGAAATGTGGGCACAAAAGTTCCGGGGACATATCCATAACTGACTTGGCGCCGCGGCGTTATTCCTAACCAAAAATATTGCCCCCTTACTCCAGCAAGGCCTGGGCACACACAGATATACATATGTACGTGCAAATGCAGATATCTGCAAGTGTGATAATACTAAATGTATTTTATTTAATTAATCCTACACCTGATTTTCGACTCATGTTGTTGCTCGTTACATTTCAAACAATATTTCTGACACTGAATTATACAGCTGAATTGTTATGACTATGCAAGGAGGAAGAATGGAACATTAAAGTGCTGCTGAGGTTCGTTACAGTGGCTCATAAAGAATCAACGGTAGGACAAGTAGCAAGAGACACGGAACTGGTTAATCAAAGGAAATCCAGTGCAGCACCAAATTCAAGATGGCATGTGATCCCTGGGTGGACGCACTGTCACAGTTGAATATCCAAGAGATATGACAGAGTACCTGGGGGTGTTCTCTGTGGACGCTACTGCACCACCCCCCAAATGGGCCAAGTGTGCGTCCACAGTTGGTTTCAAAGTCCAGTCGGTCAATGAGAAAGCCGCTGCCGAGTGTGACCTTCATAACGACCTCCCGAGGAGACAGGCCGCTTAATGATGAGCAACAAATCTCTCGCCGCCACCATGCATGAACTGCATAGGAGCCCTTAACAGCCGGATCGTGGTAGGTTATTTAGCTGTCGCCCTCCGATGACTTGGCGCCCATCCCAGAGTCGAATCAGAGGTTAATTTTGCAGATCTCGAAGTGGAGGTCATCGAAAACCTTGGAGGGTGGATGTCGGAAATATGCCACTTGTCCACAGACAGCGTACCTCTCTCCTGTCACAGTGGATATTGCCAGTTTTCTGCTCCTCAACCAAGACTATCACCAGAGACCCAAACAATAGGCCTGAGAAAGCAGTCTTGCTGCTTCTCATACACATTTACAAACTTGACAGCTCTATCATACATCTTCACATAACGCTGTATAGGCCTAATTGGACTTTTCTGGAGGGATTTGCATTTCTTTAAGACTTCCTTTATCACCTCCTTGGGCAGGACGGTCAGTCGAATATTGTGGAAAGGTTTTCAACCACCTCATCCTCGAGAGGAGAGATGTACAGATTGATATCTACAGTTTAGGTGACTAATTCCATATAACAAGAAGGCTGAGCTTGATCCTATATGGAATATATGTGAGCGCTGCAAAGTTAGAATGCCACATGACTGTCCTACCGTGGAATCAGTGTTTAGGGATATTGAAAGTCTGCTGCCACCAAGAAGTGGTACAGTTCCATAAAAAAGAGTGAATCTACGTTTTAAATTCAAATTTTCATAACAATGATAAACAGATTAAAATAAAAAGTACATTCCTCTTTAATACTGTTGCGCACCCGCAAATCTTGGAATTCTAGCTCCCCCTACTGAGTTTTACTCGTTCTCGGTCCTTGCATTTCTCAAAGTCTCTTATTTAACTCAGCTATGCATTATGGAAATTAGTAGAGATGCTAATTTTGTATTAAGTTATTCGTGATGTACTCTGGCACGATCGTGTGTTCCGTCCTGATCACTCATTTGTCCTTGTGTTTTCTCTGCTCAGTTTTGGCATGTTGAAATTCCCCTCCACGTGGCTGCGTGGTTGGGCGTGGTAAGGTTCCCTGAAATGCTAATGTTCAGAAACCTCAGACTTTGTAACTGTCAATCATTCGCCACAGATGACCGGGTAAGCACTTTCACGCACCCGGCTCTACACTTTGTACACGTTACTTCTTATTTTGTAGTTTACCCATCTACACACGACACTTAGATTCTTGCACACGACACTAGCACGAAGTCAGGCGACCCTTTGAGATGGAAGATTTTCATTGGTTGAGCTGTTCAGCGACGCTCATATTTTATTAATTTCTAAGCCTCTAGAGTCCTATAAATACAGCAAATTCGGTCAGGTGGGGCGGTCCAAGCCCTTGTTGCGAGAGCGGAACCCAACGTAGTGAGGCGGTTGGAGCCTTTCCGAGAGAAGTGCGATAGTAACCATTCTTATGGCGAAGAAATGAAACCATATGAATGACCAGCTAGCTTAGCTTGGACAGATGCGAGAGCGGTACGAATTAGCTCAGGGTGCTAGTGAGAGTCGTAGCGGCCCGTCACCGCTACGTCCAAACCGATGGCCGGGCGAGACACCCCCGTGTCCCTCGCCACCCTTGTCCTGCTAACTAGGCCAGTCCTCCCCGTCTCTACACTGAGCCAACGGTACACAGTGCGGCGATCTTATCATTGCGCTCAACACATTGCGGCCTGAACGGCAGTGTGGTCGGTGCACACCGGCGCTGGGCCCCGTCCAGCCCTTGGTAGTCACCGTGGTGGTCCGGGACAGCTCCCACCTTGGCCCGGCCTGATGAGTGTAGCCTAGTTCTGCGATGCTACACACGCGTACCGTAACCCACTCCGTCTGACTTGCATTTCCAATGGTCCTGCCCAAACCGTAGTTTACACTCGTATACAACTTCACCTCACTATAACTTTGCCTTTTGTGTGTTGTATTATGTTAAGATACAC